ACTAGGTAGGCTTCCGATAGTTTGTTCCGATGGTGCAAGTGATGGGCTACCGCTCACGGTCGAAAATCTCTTGGACGTACGATTCTGCGCCGGGTTAGACGATTGTCACGAGGTAATACAACACGCAGAAATCGAAAAATGTAAATGAACTTACAGATTTGGCCATGATAGGTCGCTCCGAGTCCAATGAGGTTTGTCTGGTCATCCTGATGGTGTAGTTTTTGGTGGTTTGAATTGCGGGTTGATTGATTGAGGGAGTAGGGCACTTCTCGGTCGAAAAGAGAAAGACTTAGCAGGATCGCGCTATTTTCTTTGAATGCCGCACAAGTTAGTCAATGTAGACTGGAACAGACGAAATAGATATGACTTGTCGGGATAAGAGAGAGAGAGAGAGAGAGAAGTAGGAAAAATATATAACTGATTATCATTATTGATAGCACAAAGTCATAAAGGGACGACGAAACCCCGGTACGGAGGGTTTAATTGAATGAACAAGAAAGTAGTGGTAAGGACCCCATACCTAATAATAATCTAAGCAGTCAGGTATCCTGCGCGCTGCTCAGTGACAACAGATCTGAATGAGGCGGAGACCTTGATAGAGTGGGTTATTGTGGGATGACGATGATCTCGGGGAGTTTGTATGCGGATGAGATACTCTGGCTGGTTATTATTATTATATTAACCCAGGGGAGCAGAGAAATGGTGATGAGAAAGCTACTCCGTAGGACATGCAGGCCAAAAGGACTCAGAAGTCAGAACTCAGGAGAGCCGGGGATGAGTAAAGTGGATGTGCTGGGTGGGTCAAAGGGGGCCGCAGAGAGAAGGTCAGTCAAGAGGTCAAACTACAGCACTAAGGCACTTCTGAAGGTGTAAATTATCTACCCAGGTCGGCATTAGCTTTCTGCATATGATTATCCAGAAGTCAGATGCAGATCAATGCGCTGCAAAAAACTTCTCAAAAAGAAACTCAAAAATCGAGGCGCTTTGAAAATGGAGGCATCACATCAAGCATGAGGTCAAGGCGCATCCCTGATGGAAGACTGAATTCTGCGCCATACAATAGAAATCAGCCCATACGCTGCAGGCTACAAATTCCAAACGGATTTTTATCTGATTTTTTGCGCTCCTTTTTCTACTATTGAGCGCAAAACGCGATCACCTGTTTCAAAGCCTCGCATCTCTAGTTGAATCTCATCCTATCTGAAGAAGGTTGTTTTGCCTGGAAAATCATCAAACTCTGTGAAATGGCTCTGATCATGGCAAAGAAGAGGTTTGATGATCGTGCTTTAGCCATCGTTGTAATGGTGACGGCATAAGAATTACCCAGAGTGAGGCCATTCGTTAATTAGGTACTTTACTCCAAGGTTCTTCTCCACGTGCCACATCCAATTGATAGTCCTGACAGCCACGCGAGATGATCCGTTGTAGTGTGTTTTTTTTTTATCCGTGATGTCGCACCAGGATTTAATGGGCAAGTATGCTTAAGAGGTTGAATCTATTATTATATATAGACTCTAGACAACAGCCATGATATCATGGTGAAAGTCATCTATCTCTATGTTACTTCTTTCCACCTCCGGATATCGCTCTTAAGGCAGTGGATGGGATATCCACATGTAAATATAGTCTATTCCATATGGTCTGTACTTGTCATAGTCAATAATGACGCAAAATTGATAGAAGTGTATGATTTCAGTAACCCTGCATTGCAATTTGGCTGTCTTCAGTGTCATAATGCGGCCTGGCTATTCACTATGCTGCTATTCAAAAGACCACTATTGACGTATCCAGCTCAGTGAGACACCGTGGAGGGATATGCAACGATGGTAGAGCACCTCTTGAACTGAAATTGAAAAAGTTCCAAGCAAGAAACCAGTGTCTGGTTATAATCCTTGAGACATTATTATTTTGTGTCAAATTGCCTGTAACCCAAGCGGTATTAAAGGCGGTCCATCATAATAACAGCAGTACCCGTGAACCTTGACCCCTCCGTGCAAATGGGGAAAAAAACATAGACAAACGTCATGCACGTCTGATCCAGCAACCGAGCTCAGGAAAAAACTCGCTAATAAATCAATCACGCGTGGTTATTTACCAACGAAAAGCGGCGCATTCATTGTCGAAAGTTACTTATATCGTCTTTGCATGATCCACCGGAATGCCGAAACCCAAGGCTTTTTTGAAGGAATCTAAATCAAAGAAGAAAAAAACCCAGCGGGTAGTTATATTCATAACCATATGACCACAACCATGCAACTGCTGATATCCAACAGGCGCCAGAGACTGCTGATGAATTTCTAGCGGGTAGGTAATCTCGTGCCGTCCGCCGAGTACAGTCTAGTCCATTCATACTGTCGAATGTAACCCTAATTCGTCTGATCTTGTCTAGCCGGAGTCGAACAGGAAGAGGGCGGGGAGAAGTGGCGTGCTGGCGATGCTGCCAAATCTTTGCGCTTTTTCATGCGGGCAATCGCAATTTATGATGAAGGCTTGCAAAAACATCCCCAGGCGTTCGACCTGGCCTATAATAAGTATGTCCGAAAGGAACAATCCTTCCGCTGAGCAGCTACACGGCCCTTCCATCAATATGCCCAACGGGAGAACATATGTTCTGTACTGACAGCTCTTAGAGCACGTCTCCAATATGAAATCACCCAGCACCCTAAATTAGCTGCCCAATTACCAGCTCCATTGCTGGATGCCTTGCAGATAGCGTTACGATCGCATAGAGAGGCCCTCAACCTGGAACAAGACAACGCAGATGCACTCTTCAACACCGCGCAAGTGCTCACGAGTCTTGCGGAAGCAGCTACCGACACAAAACACCCATCCGACGAACAGCTCTCGGGAGCAATCAAACTTCTTCAAGAGGCCATAGAACTTTTCCAACGATGTCTCGTGCTGCAAGAGATGCGATACACCGAAATGCAAGAGCAATTGAAGCAGATGGAATCTGGGTATATGGGCCCACCTGAGGAGGAAATGAAGCAGGCTCATGAGACTATGGATGTTGCAAGCGAACCAGATCCTTCAGAACCGCAAGAGCAATGGGCGGCAGTTATTGAGCCGGTGACCAAAAATACTCTCGTTGATACGGCCGTGGCGCAACTGGATACCCTCACTACACTCAGCAACCTGCTCACGTTTAATCCTGGAGTGGGACTTGCTTGGGTTGAAGAGTACTCTTCTGATCTCCTGCAGAAGATTCCAGTGTATCTCGAGGGGTCAGAAAGACAATATGAGGCGTCGTTGGCTCGAGCCAAGTTTATATGCGCCTTGAACGAGCTGGTTTATCGCAGCGGAAGGATCGAGGTGGAGACATATCACAGAGAAATCATGCGTGCCTTTGGACCTGATTTGGACGTCTCTACCGATCCCGACGGTCTTTGCAGTAAAGCTGATGCGCTTACCTCTTTCAACACTGCACTCACTGACCTCCCGCCTTCCCATGACGCCGAGGCTTTTGCGAAATCATTGGACTTGAGATGGCAATCGCTATCAACTGCACTGGACGCATTGACCAAAGCTTCGAAACTCCCTGACGCAAACAACCTGCCGAAAATTCATTTGGCCAGGGGAGACGTAGAGATGCATAGGTGGAGGCTCGGATTGGCACCATGGCAGTACGCCCTGGCGGAACAAAACACCTCGACACTACTGCAAAACGCTCAAACGTATTATCGAGGCGCTGCAGCACTGGCAAGAAGAGACGGAGCTATGGAGGAAACAAGAGATGGGACATGCAAAGAGGCGATCGCAGCCGCTCTGGGAGGCCAGAAGGATAAACTGGAACAGCTCAAGGCGGCCGCCCCTAAAGAGCTGACAGGTGTTGCTCAGGACGTGGTGGAGGACGGTCTGTTGGCTCCCGTGGATATGGAGGCTTTGTTATCGTAACCAATCACACGAACCCATTCATGAAACACAGAAGTAAACTTTTGTCGCTTGTACAAGGTGTACAGTCACCCGGACGCCTGTTCATATCTCTGGCCTGGCCTTGACTTCTTCGTCCATCTTGAATGCCTCCTGGCGAAGGTCATTCTCCTTGCTGAAATGCGAGGCTGCAGCCGCAGCACCTTCTACGTCAGCAACAATAGACTCGAGACTCGACAGTAGCCTTTCGATCTCCGCTCGTTGGCCTTGTATATGCTGGGCTAGCTCTGCGTTCTGAGCTTCGGTTGCCTGAATTCTCGCGTTCAGAGATGATTGGGCTTCTTGCAGGTAAGGAGTCAGATGCGCGCGATATAGTTCGTCCGGAGTTAAGGTATGCGGACTATATCCAGTATCAAGCGGTTAGCAGACCAGTAGCCCAAGAACAACCCATGAATCAGCATCAAGAGACATACGCTACACGACTGTCGCCTTGACCATTGTCCCTCCTATGCCTTGCCTCCCCGACCAGCCGATCGAGCTCATTCAGATGCCTCACTGCGTCACGTTCATGTATGATATCGTCAAACTCCGCCTTCGCGCTCTCCTCGAGCTTCGCGTTCAGCTGTCTCCATACCGACTCCAGACTAGCAGGGACATGTTTCGCAGGTGTCGGAAAGCACCCTGAAAAATTTGCGTATGAATTTGCGCGCAACGTTCGTGCGAGGGCCTGGCCGAAGACTTGCTGTAGACGCGACGCGCGTGGGCCTGGTGTGAGAGGGACAGGAGCCGGAGGAGGCGGGGAGGGCGAAGCTGCTTGTCGTGGCTGATTGGCATTGGTAGATTGAGTATCTTCTGCCATTTTCGCTTCAAGGCGATTCTTCTTGTTGTGATCTTGCAGACAGGTTGGTCTGTCTGGCGATGTTGAATGTGGGGTGTGGGACATTGAATCTACGAGGAAGGGGTACGTGATAAGCACGTGACATTTTATGTAGATATCCACGCGTCGTCCCCCTCCGACAGATTTTTATCTGTTCGCAGACGGACCAGACATTGATTTTCAGGCATTAAAAAAAAAAGACAATATCAAACTACAGAAACTATCCCGGGACTCATTACTATTTCAAAACAGATTAACCCGTCAATGCTCGAGTGCTGTCGTTCCCATGCGAATGCAGACTTCCGACAGCCCCATGTCCAGTGCTGATGTGTTGGGAAGGACCCCTATGTACTGAATGTCGCGATTTGATGTTCGCAAAAGCCTCTTTGAAAGCAGGCCACGAGATCGATACGTAGATGATACTATTCCAGAACCCTTGCAGCGGAAGGACAAAACTGGACGTATAGTTCATGCCGAAGTTGAAGTTGTGCGGATAGATCAACGCGTACAATCTGTTCATCGTGGAGGGTACCTATTCCAAGTATCAACATTAGTCAAAACTGATTACTCACACCATTGTTGATGATGCTGAACTGACCCATGTGACAAGCAGTGCGATGAAGAAAAGCATCGCATATTTGGTATAGGCCCAAGCGGCCGAGTTCACGTCTCTCGCCGTCGCGCGACGCTGAGCGTATGGGTCATGCTGGCTGCTTCGCAAAGTCCGCATTGGCACATTTTCGTCGTTGCCAGAGGCGCTGCCACCTTCAATGGTTACAGAGTAGGGCGAGTATGGGCTGAGGTATCGATGCGGGATATGGCTGGCACTCGTGAGTGTCAATCGATTGGATTCACTTCCAGAATGTGTGATCTCGCTGGTGACATGTATCTCTGTCTTTTTGGAAAAAGCGGGCTCCATAGGACTGTCAATTTTGCCGCAAGAATCCGAACACCCAGCCTCCTCGAGTTGCCGTCGTTTTTCGAAAATCACTTTGCCAGCACGCAGGTAGATGGCAAATGTCAAGAAAATGACGAACCAGACTGGACCATAGAAGACTGCAATGCGAAGAAAATCCCAGGGGAGCGAGACCCAGCACCAGAGCTGTTAAGCGACAACGAGTTAGAGAGTGACTCTGCACAGCACTGATTCCCCTACGACAACATTGCACTTACTATGGCTGAGCCGTAAACCTTTCCTCGAGCCTCGGTTTCTATGAAGAAATAAACGAATGCCGGGATGAAGGGGAGGCCATAGCAGAATAGCACGTATTTCCACTCTAGCTGTCGCAGCTGTTCTGAGTTATATTTGTGGAAGAAGGTCAAGTAGACATTGCATGCCATGGCCAGAGTCCACAACGCATCAGCGGGCATGAACCTGCGACATGCGAACATCAACCATCAGTATATGAGCTATGAGCACCAGACACCGGGAATCTGGCCGAGCTACTGACCATTGAATCAGAAACGCCTGGAACTGACAAAGGCAGCTGCTTGTCCCGTAGGCGATGCCCGACTGAGAGATCATCGTGGCTACATTTGCCATGATATTTCCCCATGACGCATAAAATACAAGACGATTGATCGGCTTGCGAAAGGAGCCCGATGCAAGGAAAGAGATGACTATGATACTTGTTCCAGCGAGAGAGATCGCAGAGCATATGCGTTCTGTCGTCGATATGGCGAACAATTCTCGCTGTGTGAGCGACATGACGCCAATAACATGCTGATCAGGCCGGCCACTATCCAAGGATCTTCGTCAGACTTATGCAAGGAATGGAAAATAGGTAAAGGGGATGAGAGGGGCAGTAAAGGAAGAGAAGATGGAAGAGAGTACAGTAATAGGTACGATCCAAGGTCTCACCAGAGTCTGTGGCACACTCAGGCGCTGAAGGCGAATCGACTCGTTAGGAAACCTAAGGTAGTCCGTAACTGTCTGTGATATCAAGACTCTGTTTAGAGTTTATCGAATCAATATTAGACAGGTCCCTTCAGGATACAGGACTCGGCCATCGTGGATAATATAGCCATTGCTCGGCAGGGTTGTTAGCCTGCTCACATGCTGTTGTCGGAAGACAAACCATGTTCGATACCTAATAATGAATTTCGAGGGCTACCAATAATAGCAGAAGGACTGCCTGTCGTCAACGCAGCCGGAACAAAGCATGAAACGATTCGGTCTTCTAGATTTTCTTGAGTCGACCAGTCCCAAGTCAGAGATTCGGTTGCTAAGCTTATGCTGCTTTCCTCATTCTTCTTCCATGTGGTCTGGTGGCGCACCAGAAATTTGCGGGGGGTGTTGATCCCCGAGTCAGTTCTCTGTAAACCCTCTCGTATTAGATCTAGTAGTTTATTTTAATGGGCAGGAAATACGAACTGGATGATTCATCATTCAAACTCTGGCAAACCTAAAAAGTCATTCAAAGAGTCAACACAAGAAATTGACCGTCAATCATCAGGGGTAAGTAGCTATGAATAAAGACTGCTTCCATGGGAATAGAAAGGGGACGCAGAGCGAAAGACAAAGGAAAAAGGAAATCCACCCCGGTCTTATGCACGTCAAGCCTCACAAGCTTCTTTCAGCGAAGATGGAGGAAGAAGGCTGCACACATTCATTCATCATCTTAGAACAAAGGTGAGAATTGATGATCAGTGCCTAATACATACTCCATAGTATCTACCTCTGTTGTGGATCAGTCAATGCTTTATGTTAAGGTGAATCGAGCCGACGCCACACCTTTCTATTCTACCTAATTATGGCCCACCCAGCTGAACTTGTGGACAATGATGTCTGACTGATCCAGTTTTATATTTGACTGTGGATAGAATAACCGGATTCTCTGAATCATGCAAGGGGTTGGCGAAACTTCGAAGCTATCAAAAACCACCTAACTGTCTGGTCATAGCGGTCTCTTTCTTCACCTTGCGCCTTGCAGCGTCTAGGTATCAGATCACAACTTGGAGCAAAAATAAGCGTATCTGTTTACTTGCGCTTCAACGATATCCCCCGTGTCTTAGCAGCACACCCACACCGTAATCGTCATGTACCTTTTATATGGTATTACCATATAAATGGTACATATAGATTTTTTAATCTAGGTATGTACACACATTTAGTTTTTAAAGTAGATCATTAATTAGATATATAAATGTCTATCTTTTATTACTATCTTTATTATTAGAAAGGAAAATTATAGTGGTAAGATAAAATAATTTATCTTTATCCCTTTCCCTAAGAAAGAGTTTTCCAAGGGAAATTTTATACATTCTTATATCTCTAATTTTTTTATAGTAAAACTCCTAAAAGACTTTTAATTATAAGATGTTTCCTCTAAAAGTTTTAATATTACTATCTAAAATATAGTCGCCCCTAGTAAATAGTCTGGATATTAGACTTAGGGAGTATGTACCTTTTATATGGTGATACCATATAAAAGGTACATGACGATTACGCTGTGGTTGACGATTACGCTGTGGGTCACCCTCACCGCTCCGCGGTGAGGGTGAGCCTTAGTCACGGATACCACTTAGTACAGTACTTGAAAGATAGATGGTAAAGCTTTAAATAGAACACATAACGCTACTCACAATGCCCTACAAGTCGGCTACCTTTGTCTCTTGCAAAAGCCAAACATGCATATCAAAAACGTCAAAAGCCGCCAATATTAGCACTCCTTCTTCGGGTATAACGCCACGCTCCCGCATTTTGAACCTATAACCATCATCTTATTGTGCCCACTTTGGAAATATGAATTCAGCAGGAGTAAAAAGAGGTAAGAGGAGACGATTTGATCGGGAGTTTCCCTGACACATTTAGTATGCCTGCTGTGGTGGGACCATCCCTCCGTAACCTCCAGCCATTTGTTGCTGTTGCTGTTGCTGTTGCTGCTGCTGCAATTGAGCCTGTAATTGAGGTAGGTCATGGAACCAAGGATGCTGCAGTGCGTCCGCTGCACTAATGCGCATCTCCGGCCGTAATTGAAGCATCCGATTCAGCAGATCGAGCCCGAGGGGGTCAATCTGAGGCAGAATAAGTCCCAGATCTTGTGTTGCATATACGTGGAAATTCGGCTTGTACTCCGGTAGCTGAGAGATACCGGGCCACGAACGCTCCGAAGGTGTGCCCATCAGACGGAAGATCTTCTGCAGTTGGTCCTCATTGGTCGTCCCAGGGAACAGAGGACGGCCAGTGTACAATTCTGCCATGATACATCCAGCGGACCAGATATCAATGCTTGTGTTATACGTTCTGCTGCCCAGCAGCACGTCCGGAGCACGATACCACAGTGTCACCACTTCGTTGGAGAAGGTGTTAACAGGGATGCCGAAAGCACGGGCCAGGCCGAAGTCGCCCAACTTGAGCTGACCCTTCTTATTAATGAGGAGATTCTGAGGCTTGAGGTCTCGATGGAGAACCCGATTCTCATGACAAAAGGCGATGCCCTTGAGGAGCTGGTGCATGAATGACTTGATCGTGGCGTGATCCAGCTGACCTCGGTCGCCTCGTGTATCCATGTACTTCTTCAGGTCCTTGTCCATATACTCGAACACAAGCATGAGCTTATTCTCCGTATGAATCACATCATAAAGTGAAACAATACTCTCATGCTTCAGTTCCTTCATCAACGAGATCTCTCGAATGGCTGTCGATGGTGTTCCTTCCTCCGAATCAAGGTGAATCTCCTTCAACGCCACTAGCTCGCCGGTCTGGCGGTTGCGTCCTTTAAAAACCTGCAAAGATTGAGATCAATATCGCCGGGAGAATTGAATGAGATGCGCAGGCGGGGAAACGGAAGGGGGATCGAACGTACGGTAGCATATGTACCTTCACCCAGCTAGAGACGAAGCACAAGTTAGTACTGGCCACCCTTTACAATATTTCATGCGGTCATAGAAGCATTCTCACACACCTTTTCCAGCTGCTGGAAAGAGCTGGGTTGCTGCGCCTTATCCATCGTCTGAGAAGAGATGGTACCTCTGTTTGTGACGGGCGGCTGTTGGGTCGAGGCTTTTGGGCGTTGGTTACTGAAAAGAAAGGATTTGGGAGACACAAGGGTAGATAAAATTTCAGAGAAAGAAGAAGGGTTGTTGTACTCTGAACGAGAATCCCTTGCGGTTCTGGATGGGGTCCGATAGTCCATGCTCGGAGGTGATCTGATCGCAACTTGTTTGAACCAGCCCCGCGCGGCCTATCTTGGGATGGCAAATCGCGGGCGGTTGCTTATCCACCTGGGCGGCTCTATCAATAAGGTCTCCAGCGCCTGTAACTGACCAATCTTCCATCTATGTAATCGAATCTGAGAGATTTTCACTATTTTAAGTAAACATATTTATTTGTGACATTCGAAGGTGTTCTAGATAGTTCTGATTCCGTTGTGCTTTTTAACAAGAAACTGTTTCTCAGGTACATAGATGGCCCTAAGTGTTAATTATCTCTAATTCTATGCATATATGAACGTGTTCTGAATATATCCAGTATACATGCCATACAGTTCTCGGCTCTATACGTTCATCCGTAATTGAACTTGGGAAGCAGCGACACTACAGGGGGAAGAATCGCCTCGGACGGAAAGCTGCAACGGACATGTGAGGATGAGACATGGCTACTCGTCCCAAATAGGACCGATTCATTCCTGACGCCTCCCAGATTGATTATGGCAATAGCCATCCCTCTCCTGTGGGCTCTCTCAACTAATCGCCAAGCTGAAAACGTAGCAAGACTGCTTCCTAGAATCAGTAGCCTTCCTGCATCATCGATGGCCTCTTCAGCAGCTGATTTCACTCCAGGGTCAATATTTTCACCAAACATGACAACCGCAGGTTTCAGAATGCCAGCTGTAGATGAAGGGAGCCATGCCCCATCCTTTTCCACTTCTACCCTGGCCTGTGTGCCGTCCTTCAGTCTGGGAGGGTTCTCCAAACAGGTAGGACAAGATGGGTACCTAAACGTGGAGTATGGAGCCTCAGCCAGGTCCACGTCACCGTCTGGATTTAGCTTAAACCCCTTCTGTCTCTGTTCTTCTGGATTGTTGGTGTCGAGCGCTCCTGCGTCGACCATCCGTGCAAGAAACTCCGCCCAGGCGGGGTTGAGCCTCTCGAGTGACTCCTGAAACTCAGCGCGTGAGAATTGGTTTCGACAGCTAATGCAGACAACAGACCTCAAGTGGCCATGAAGCTCAACCGTCGGTAGCTCGGGATGTGCAATTGAGTGGAAGGAGTCAACGTTCTGCGTCACAACGGAACTGATGAAGCCCTTGGCGCCGAGGTCCCGGATAGCCCGGTGCGTCGAGTTGGGCTGAGCTTTCAACAATCCGGGCCACCCAACAAAGCTTCGAGCCCAGTATCTTTTGCGAGACTCGTGCCGTGAAACAAATTCGTGAAAATATATAGGTCTGTAGGATTTGTTCGTGACGTAGGTGCCGTTTTCTCCTCGATAGTCGGATAGTCCAGACGCTACCGAAATCCCAGCACCAGTCAAAAGAACGGCCTGCGAATGTCGGCCAACATCCACTCCGCGAAGGTACGGGGATGGAGGAGCTGTGAAAAATGATAAGATGGCATTGATCGCTCCTGAAAGTGTGCTGGCAGATGGCGGTACAATAATCGGTGGAGGCAGCGGACCAGTCAACGGTATACGGATCGAGGGTTTCGTCATTGAAGACGCATTGTTGGCTGAGGGAAGCTACGCAGATGATTGACCTGTTGTGCTATCCAAATGGCTCAATGAAGCACGGGAAGGTTTACTTCCATGGGGACTGGTAGACCCGTGGATATGATGTAACGAGTTAACTAGTTAATCGCTGCATAATGACTAATCTTGATGTCACATGATGCGATGTTAACCAGTGTGCGAGCTGGTGTCAAGCCTTTTGCTTGCAAATTGGCAGAAAAATAAGAGAGCTTGAGGTTTCTAGACGGAGGCGAAGATGAATTTATAAATATATTATTGGAAAGCAAGCCTTCTACACGAGTGAAGTCCGACATCTGGTCTAAAAGAACATAGTATGGGTCTGAATTTCCCCGGATATTAGCACGTGACTGATCCAGAGCAGAGTCTTCGAACGTCACGCCTTCATTCCCAAATATTATTCGAATTTGGAGTGCTGATAGCATTTCCTTGTCTTTTATAAGCAGTTCTTGAGTCGTCTGAGTGAATTGGATTCTGGTCCAATTCGTCGGCTTCGTCCTCTTTGGACATGTTTCCCTCCCAGGCTGGCAATCTAGATCTAGATGCTCTGAGTGGTATTTGCGGGTATGATTCTAAGCTCTTCGCTTTCCATTGTACCAAGACGGGAGAATTGGCGCGGGAGGTATCCTTACAGTGATTACTGACTGGCGCATATAGGTCAATTTCCATTGCCTGCTGGGTCGTGGTTTTCTCACCGCAAATCATTGAGAATTTCCGTCGTGGCTCTGCTGATGGTCTTTCTCTACTCTTTCTCGTGGTCTGGCTAGCAGGGGATGTTTTCAACATTCTTGGTGCCGTCCTTCAGGGCGTGCTGCCTACAATGATCATCCTCGCCGTCTACTACACCCTCGCAGACATTGTTCTTTTGGGCCAATGCTTCTACTACCGGGGATTCACGCTGCGGGATGAACTGTCTAGTCCCACTTCTCCCGCAGAGATCATCACTGAAGATGAGCCCTCGCCGAGTAGAAAGGCAACCGAGCGTACCTCTCTACTTCCTCCCAAGTCTAACGGCCACTCGCATCAGGTCCAAGCCCAAGAGCCTCACTATCAGTCCGGTCAGGCGGGCTCAGCAGCCACAACTACACAAATGCCGCCGTTACCATCGCATTCGGGCCATCGGCGACACTCTGCAACATCCTTTCGAGAAATTATCCATCCGAACATCGACGCGACACATCTGTCACCTGTAACACCCTTCATCGAACCGACTTCGAAGAAATCTTTGTCTGCTCGACGCATTTCCACTCTTCAGACTGTCCTTCTCAACGTCGCTGCCATTGCACTTGTCTGCGCTGCAGGAGCGCTGGGCTGGTATGTCAGCCCTAGCTCTTCCAAGAACGATGAATCAGAATCTCCTGGAGATGACGGCGATTCATCCTCTCTTACTTTCGACACCCTAGGTCAGGTGTTTGGCTATCTATGCGCCGCCCTGTATCTTGGCTCACGCCTGCCCCAGATTCTTCTCAACTACCGGCGCAAATCTACGGAAGGGGTTTCACTGCTATTTTTTCTCTTCGCATGTATCGGCAACCTGACCTACGTACTGTCTATCCTGGCTTATTCCCCGGTCTGCAAGCGACACACTCGCCAGTCCCACCACTGTCGCCCCGGAGAAGCCGCTGCGCTCTACGGCCGATATGTGCTTGTTAATCTGTCGTGGTTGATAGGGAGCTTTGGGACTCTCTTGCTTGACATGTGTATTTTCATTCAATTTTTCTTGTACAAAGAAAACGGAGACTGATACCGATACAAGTCGGAGACGGATCCAAAAAAGGCGCTTAGTGTGGAATTCTTCCTAGGGCTTCCGCTGCTTGGTTCACTGATTATGATACTCTGCTCGCAAAATGTATATATAGCTGAGAAAGAAGAGAAGGTTGTCATAAGATTCGTTAGAAAGGTATCTCTTGGTCATATTATAGCCACGCGGTGAATTTGGATAGAAAGGACGACACCCGAAGAAGAACACCCGCTAGATGCAATGCGTACCCAATCGTAATGCTGTCAACGCTTTTCCCTCCCAGACGGTCTACTGGAAACTGGATTAGGTGAATTAATCCTAGCTGTGAGCATGATCGCCTTAGTCACTGGGTGGCCGTGCTTCCACTTTGCCTTGGCTCACTTCTTTCCAGTTGGTGCTCAAAGACGTGCCCTGGCTCTCCACGTAACTCTTCACCATGGCCCGACGGGTGTCCGGGTCCGCATTGGCATACAGTTTCTTAAAGAAAGCGTCCACTGGATCGCCAGTGCCGTAGTCAGAGTCGATGGAATCCGCACCGTCGGATTCATCGCCACTGTCCTCACCAACTTTTGCATCTTTTTCGGCGTTCCGATCCTTATCCTTGCCTTTCGACTTCTTCGCCGTCAGGGTTGATGCGACTTTATCCCAATCTTTAGCGCCGCGGCGAGATGAGGTTGGGTAGTAAGGTCCGCTTTCCGCTGCGGGGGCTACTCCTACAATGGCCTGTCGATCAGAAAGTTTGGCGCCTGACGACGACGCTTCCAATGCGCCCCATTTCTGGCCCGCTGTCTTTTTGCGTAGGAGAAGTTCAATCTTGGTTGACATCACGGAAACCTTTGATGCAGATGGATCAATCGGTGCGAACAGAGGATCCAGAGTAAAAGCGTAGTCCGCGCCAGACGGGAGCGGGAATTGAATGGCAGCCTGTAACACTTAACAATCAGCTCCTGATCAATAGCATGAAATTTGGGTGAGAAAAAAGGTCACTTTAATTCCACATACCGATTCGTCCTTAAGCTCGATGTCCACGCTGTCCTTAGGCAACCCCTTAATATAAAGGGTCACGACAACCGAGTCATGAGACTGATACCACTCATGCCGAACCTTTTCTGTTGAGGGAGCAGTGGATGGTGAAGTGGTGGACATCGCGGGTGGAGCCTTGCTTGTTGTGAACAGGCTCTCTGTTGTGGGAGTGCTTGTTTTTGTAGATTCTGTAGCCTTGCCGTCCGCCGAGGTGGTCTGTGCCTGAGTACTTCCCTCCTCGACTTTACCAGCCTTGAGAGCATCGAGTTGCCTCTTGAGGTCCTTTTCAGATGGAATGGACACACCCTTGGGAAACTCTTCGATGGTGACCCTTGCTTTCTCGTCGCCCTCGGCCAGCTTGCTTAGCTTTCCCTTAACTTTCAATGTCCAAATGGGAAGCTCCTGCTCATAGCCTTTCTTGGTGGAGGAACGTGCAGCACCACCACCAGCCATCGCATCCTTCACTTTCTCTGATCTATCTTGACCTTCTGTAGTTGTGCCAATCTTGTCCTGAATGGTGCTGAACACGAAAGCTGCGTCGCCGTATCGCTCAAGCTGATACAGGACGATGCCGCGTCTCATTTGCGCAGACAATATAAGCTCGCGTTTCGCTCGTTCTCGAGCAAGAGTAAGCGCAATTTCTGCATCTTGAAGCGCAGCGTGCAAGTTGGGACCTCCGTCTGCCGGCTTGAGCCGTGAAAAGGCAGTCGACCTCTTGATATAGTAGGCTGGGGCGCGGGGAAGCTCCGTCAAGGCTTGGGTGAAGTACCGGATGGCAGTGGGACAGTCAGAGTTGGCTAGGGCCTTGTCGCCCTCTGCCGCCGCGTTCATTCTGCTGTTCGTCTAAGGCGATTATTCTCGCCTTGAAGATCTCCGCACTTAGCTTGATTGAGAAGACGGCTATGTTCCCCCAATGTTATTTCTGATTAGACACTTGAGGTCGCCTCGGGTTGGTGGCCAGAAACTGACTATATGGAAATATTCTCGTATAAGGAAGCTCGCTTTTGAAAAAACGACAAGAGCATAGCTTATCTATAGCTCTTTCTCGGTAGCTTGTTGATTCTATGACTTTCTTTGGAGACTGCGGGGAGCACACGTGATGGCGTTAGCCCGATCAGGCAACTACTCATCCATACAAATCCGCTTGGTATAAGGTATTATTATTAGGCTTAGCATTCCACTTTAATACATACAGCAATCGTTGCTGATTCATTAGACAGTATGTCACGTATGGTACACCCTGGAGTCTCTGCGTACTAGCCAGGTGTATGAACGATTTGTCCAGAAGCGTCTCACATCAGTTCTTCGTTGCCGAACTTGCGGCTGTAAAGACCCAAAGCTCGAATGGGCCAGTAGAACTTGTAGTTGGGATACGAAATCATGCTAGGCCTGGGTCAGCTGTTGCAGGGAAAATGAGTTTGCAAACACAAATTCTTACCAAGATTGGTTGAAAACGCCCTCAATGGATTCTTGCAACCACTCCCCGTTTGGTTGCTGCCGTGACATGAGCAGCTTCATGGCTTTCTGCAGTGGCTCCTTGTGTGGATATCCCGCTTCCATTAGTGCAAGACAAGCCCAAGCAGTTTGCGTTACTTGAGACTTGTCATGTTGAACGTACACATGTTTCTCACTGCTGAGATAAGACTCACCCCATCCTCCGTCCTCCTTTTGCTTGGAGAGGAGGAACTCGCAGCCACGGCGCGCATACTCGCTGGTCTCGTAGGTTTCCCCGATACTGGCCAGGCTTTCTAGGGCAAACATGGCGGCATAGGTGAAGCAGATTCCCCAAGATCCGTACCAGCTTCCATCCCGTCTCTGCACGCGTTTGATATATTTCACAGCCTTGTCTTTCGCGGCCTTGATCTCGTCGGCCCGGTAGTCAGGGTAAAATCTGCTGAAAAGCGAAAGCGCGGTGACAGAAGCGGTGGTACATTCGGGATAGTCATAACCGATCATGATTCCGCCAAACACTTCCGCAGCATTGAGCCACTCCAGCTTCTCGGAGCCACGGGTGGTTTCGTACTCAGTGAAGCCACCCGACGGATTTTGCATCAGCAGTAAGCAGTCGACACTGTCTTTCAGTCGCTCCGCGGAGATCAGCTTTGGATAGTTGTGCATCTCCTGTAGTTGGATTGTCGACCGCAAACCCTCCGCTGTGCAATCACTAACTGTATAGCCTTGTGTCTTGTTACTGAACGGCCACGCACCCTTTCGGTGTTGACGGTAACACTTTTCTTGATCTGGGACGTTCTCCCGAAGCTGATGATCTTCAAGGAACTCCAAGGCTTTGGTGAGCATTGGTCGCCACTTGGGGTCATCTGCGAAACCGGCGACGACAATAGCTTGCGTGATGAAAGCAGTATCCCACACTTGTACTCCGTTGGTTCCATTCATCAACATGCCTTCATTCTTCATCCACATGTAATCATTCAGACGCTCACGATGGCGACGAACTGAATAGCTGTCTGGCCCATCATGGACATAGCAAGCTACCATGTTCATCGGGTTGCTCACAGGGCCTAAGCCTGCATAGTCCGTATTCTCGTCTTCCATTCTAATCAACTCCCAGGTCCAATCCTCTGCGCGTTTCACCAACGCAGAAATTCGGAGGTAGGGATTCCACACAGAGACGAGAAGTTGGTTGAGCAGGTTTAAAAGCCAGGTCTTGGGATAGTAATTATCGGCTTCGTGGATTGAGTTCCGGTGACTTGCAAAATTGATAGAGTCGTAAGGCTGGGTGTACAGCTCCTGACGCAACTGTTTCGTGAGCGGGTCCAGAGGGTGTGTGAATTTCTTGGACCATAGGTACGACATGGGCAAGAACACTTGACGTATATGGATCCACCACCGCCAAGGCGCAAAAGGAACCCAGTCCGGAAGCAGCCTACACTATTGTTAGGCTCTCGTTGATATTTTACAAGAGAATGTGCGGATGGAATGCAACGTACCAAATCTCAGGTGGGACAGGATTGACGCAGTCCCATTCCATGACACCGAGGACACTAAGCCAAAATTTCGCCCAGTGAGGTCCATATACGGCACCGCCAAACTTATGTAAGAGCCCACGGGCTTTAATCATACGAGGGTCGTCCTCGCTGACACCAATCAAGCGCAGTGCCACGTAGTTCATGCAAGTACCAAAGACAGAGCTATGCGCCTCAATGTGCAAGCCCCAGCCGCCGTCTTCCGGGTGCTGACGAGCAAAGAGATACCTTTTGATCTCAGTGGCATACTCCGGCGGAATCGGGGTGTTGGTCACGTAGTACGTGATGATGAGGCCCGGCAGCAAGAACATCGGACCTCCGTACTCACAGGCCCAATTGCCTGGAGGAAGTTGCAATTTGGAGAAGAATTCCAAGCCATTCTCAGCACATTGCAGTGGAGTTTTTGCTTTCGGCAGCTCTGGAAGTCCCTGAGGTAGAATAGTCAGTTCTGTGTATGGCAAACACGCGGTTTTTGTGTCGGCAGGGATGAGAGGGTTACCGTAGGGAGTCCCAGAAAATGCTTGTCAGCGACTGATTGAGGCCATTTCTCATTCTCTTCATCAGACTCCAGGTAATGCCAGGTCTGGCGGCCCCGATCATCTAGCAACCTCCATCTTGAATGGTCTGTTTTGAGGTCTCCATTCTCGTCTGGACTCAATTGACCCTGAGCTGCAGTTCTCCACGGGGCAATGGCGCCTCCCGTCATTGTCTGCCTTGTGAGAACTTCAAATCCTAAAATTCTACCGTAAAAGCTGAGATCTAGTTTATTACTTGTCAACTGATGAATGTGCCAACGATGAACAGGGGAAATAATGAAAAAAAGGCACCAATGCTTAACAGCAGATCACATGTAGATCCGGGATGTTGATATGCATATGCTTAGTCATCAAGGGGCACAAATTAACATACGCATCAGGCAACACAGTTGAATCGTTGCTCCATCTGTATTCTAAGGACGAAAATTGTGGATGGAACAGAAATTAACAGCGCTTTGGTAGACAGACTAAAGTGTGCAGAAGTCGTTTTGTTGACAGCTGCTGAGTATATTCTTATTCTGGCCCAGGTTATAGACTAGATAGTGGCTGGAGGCAAGAAATATAGTTCTTCGCGTTTGAAAGAATCGAATATACATTGAAGCAGTCCAGAAAGACTTGGTAAGATATAATGGGACTTACCATGGCATCAGCGAGGATTCCTGGATTCAGTAAAGGTCGTGAGGCCCCCGAGTCCCTTCACTGCTGTCTCGACTACGTAGTCACTTGACTTGCCCATCCACTCTTCTCTTCAATCTATCACGACCATGAGCTGACTGCTAGCAATGGAGAATACACTGGACAATGCCGAATCGAGCTCGGCTAGACTGTTTACGAATCAGGAGCACTCCCAGAAAGAGCGAGTCCAGACGTTTATTGACAATACACTCATAGAGCTTCTCGATGAGCTACGGACACCAGACGGTCGACCGACCTTGACATTATTGAAACGAAGATCCAGAGGAGTTTCCTTTTCCATCAATCCCGAGAACCTTGCTCTAGAGACCGACGAGAAAGAAATACGATCATCCTACAGCTGGCCGGGTAGGAATGCTTATGAGGCTTGGAAGTTTAGTACGGAACATCTTTTTCTTTGAAGATCTGGATCAAAACTGAATTTGTCAGCTGCCATCATCCGAGGAATAGCAGTTATCGCGGAGGCAATCCAAGCTGGTCTGGTAGTTTCCAAAAGGTATCAATTATCTGAAAATAAGGTAAGCCTCGAGCGCTGGCTGATTTGAGCAACAGAGACATCTATTACAGCGATCCAGCTTGTTTCGGTTCTCAGCGAATCGTTGACACGATAATTGATGATATTGCTCATACGGTTGGGCTTGATAGACGGGCGTTGAACGTGGTAATACATTCAGGCCGACTATTTGACTCGAATGTCCAGCTGACATCAGATGGCACAGGAAGCGGTAGCCAAAGGGCTTGTTGCGGGATATTATCGTCTGATGACCAAAGCTGGTGAAGTAGTGGACGCTCGCTTATCAACCAAGGTAGTTCAAAATATTCACACTTCTCCCGGGAATGATAATGACGATGATATGAGCTAGGATGTCCTGATACCGAAAACAGAAGACATTGAAGCAATCGACGCCTCCGAAGTGAAATGGGTCTTGATCCTGGAAAAAGAAGTAAGAGAGGATATATCAGCACGTATCTCACGCTGCCCACAGTGTGGTAACATACCATTCCCAGGCAGTCTATCGTCGACTCTCGAGAAGCAGCTACCACACTAGAGCGGCGGCAGGCAAAGGTGTATTGGTAACAGTAAGTTTCCCAAGGCTAGAACCACGGTGTAGAAACCGACGGTGAAACACAGGGAAAAGGATATCCGGACCTGAGCACGCGAGCCTTTGTTCGAAGACTGTTTGATGAGACTAGACATCTCCCCGAGGAGGAAGCCCCGCGTTTTTACGCTCTCGTCGATAGTGATCCCGATGGCATGGCGATCATGTCAACTTATAAATATGGCTCGATGGCGCATGCGCGCGACAACGAGAGGCTCAATGTTTCCAAGCTTCGCTGGCTGGGACTCCGAACATCAGATGTCATTGGAGGCGCAAACTCATTCGGGGACGAGGCTTTCATTCGCCTGAGCCCGAGGGACAGAAAGAAGGCTATTGCAATGCTGTCGAACCATCCCGTGTGGGCGGAAGATGGACCAGAGCAGGAATGGCGCGCAGAACTGCAGCAGATGCTCATGTTGAACTTGAAGGCGGAGATTGAGATTCTCTACGATCGGCAGGAAGGACTTGAAGGGTGGATTGAAAAGGAGATGACCACTCCAAGCTGATACAACGGGACAGCGGATTGTCGCATAAAGTTTTCAATTGACAATTGATGGAATGTAGATGAAACAAGAGGTCTATTCTGCGTCAACTTGTTACACAATAAGAACAAACATTAAGCCGAAAGCAACATGCTGAGTGATATAAATGATTGAAAAGAACATAAGACATCGGGAACACACCAGAAACGCCATTTATCCGACCCAATCTCATAACCACCCACGCTTCGATGCTAGGAGTGCCACATGTAGTGACACGAAAACTCGTAGCAGAGCATGGCTCACAGCGTTATGTACAGCCCCAGGAATATATACCTTATATATCCATCCAGCGCGTCCGCATGTAGTTCCCTACAGACCCAAGCCTTTCCTGACCTCATCACGAACCTTCCGCTCATACTCGCTTCTGCGTTCTCTCCACATTTTTGCCGCCTCGACGTTGGCAGGACTTTCGTCATTGGGTTCTGCCAGCATGCTCATGACGGAGATTAGGATTTTTTCCACACTCTGAATAGGCGACCACCGCTCGGATGCATGCTCGTAATGGTTTGGATCATCGCCGGGAGGATGAAGAATGGATATACAGACGGTTCCGTTGGGATACACTGTTAGGAGGACATGTCAGTCACCGCTTGGACTCGATGTTGAGTGAACGGAGAAGAGGCACGTTATTTCTCACCATTCGGATGCCACACCCCACCACCGACAAATTTCATTGTTGGCGGGCTTAGCGGGTAATCTTTGGGAAACTTGAGCTCTGCTGCAAACACGCCTCCTTCGTACGGTGTACCCTCAGGACCTTGAATCAAGGCCTCCCAGTGAAACATATCATCCTCGCTGACCGGACCGGCAGTGATGCCATCGGGTGGGTTTGTTGATAAGTTCTTATACTCGTGAAAGAGACGTTTCTGTGCGACGGAGGACATTGTGTAAATCGAAGATCCAAAATCGAAGGAAAGTGAGCGAGCAGACTTTTGAGACGTAGCGACAAAGAGAAGGAAAAGCGTTGAGTTTGTAGCCGAAGCCGTGGAAGTGGGCTGCGGAGAAGTGGTGATCAGTGTGGGGTTCAAGGATCCCGTTCCCCAAATGCGGACGCTGTCTGAATAACTTCTAGTTATAGTTAAGCCTGCAAAGAGTAGAGCGGACGGTCTAGAGATGGAGGATCAGTGGAAGGATTGGAGAATGCTGCCGGAGGATATTAGTCCAAGTACTCCATAGCTGACGACAGAAATGGAAACGGACTTTGCCAGTTGCCACCCGGCAAAGAATTTACTATGGCTTTCCCCGAGGATCGGCCCGCAAGGACTGAAGACTGATCATAAGTTCAATATGAGTCGCTGATTGCTGCATCTAATGAAAGGACAAGGTAAAGAAGGGCCTGACAGTCTCACATTGAAATAATATCTACTTATAATACATTATTAATCTACATGGGGCGATCTGTAATCTATATGGAGAATGATCTCGAGAGTTCCCATTGTTAACGAGAACCATGAGAAATAAGCAGGTACAACATATGCCAGGGGTATAATCTTATCGCAATCATCAAAACCAGTCATTGTCGTCACTCCCTTCTTCGCCCTCATCATCTGGCTCCTCAATGTTCCAGGTATCTTCAGGCCCGCGAGAAAAAGGATCCTCCTGGTCCTCGGCCCATACATCCCCGTAAGGGCCTGCTTGATCGGGGACTGATGATTGCTGGTCTGCCGAGTATGGCTGCTGCTCGGGTGAGGGAGGATGCTGTGGATTGCTGTCTCCAGCCATGCCTCTTGACAATGCATCGTAACCAGCCATCGCACCCGCTCCTGCAGCTCCTGCAGCAGCACCTTCGGCAATTCCTCCAGCGGCGCCAGCCCTGCCAATGGTGCCCGCGGCCGCCTCACCTACAGCTCCAGCTTCGCCAGCAGCGGCACCACCGGCAGCGGCCTCTCTGCCAATGCCGGGGAACCAGATGGGCATGAAGCCAAAACCGCCAGCACCACTGTGACGACTAAAGTAATCGAAGTCAATGCTGACCGCAGTGGCCAGCATTACTGCCCGTTGATCCAGAGTCATTCCAGTTGGCGCGTTTGCTTGTGCAGTCGAATCCTCGGATCCAAGAGCCGCAGAATCCATGCGAAGAGCATAAACACCTGTGTCTGTGAACAATTCCCGCGCGAAGCCAACGAAATTTCGATTGACTGAGCCAATGAGTCGGCTGTCTGCCGAGCGTAGAGAGAAGTCCCATGACAAGAAGGGCTCATCGACATAGGCGAACTGATGGTATTCCCCAACATCTTGACCGCTGACACTGGTCTGCGTCAATTGCATCTGCTGCGAATTTGATAACCCGGTCTGTGAAAGAGGTAACCTCTGAGTTCGCATCTCTGTGGCACCAACAGGGGAGTGATGATAGGTGAAAAGGTTGTATTTCCGCCGTAACGGCGCCCACTGCTGCTGTGCTTCTCCAATGACACGCATATCGTCTAATCCCAAAGGCGAAACTCGTGCATTTGAGCCCCCCGTAGCTTGGACAAGTGATCCTGAAGGTCCAGTCTGGACAGCAGGTGAAGACGAGAAGGTGCTTTTGGCAATATCAAGAGGGTCGTATACCCGAATGCGAGAGTTAATCCAAGAGAAAGGACGGTGGAACTGAAAGGCGTTAGAAGAATCATTTCTGGTCCAATTCCACAAAAGGATATAGACTTACTCGAAGCACCTCGTTTTCGTGCCGATCAAACACATGCGTCACAAAACTTCGATGTGTTCGAAACCACTGTCGCGCCATCATATTTGCCATGCCTTTCTCTTGTTCGGCCATGTAGCCGATATGGTTTCCATTTGCATCCATGATGGCGTATTTGTTCGCCTGTTCGAATCCGCTGAAAATCCCTGGTTAGCTTTGACATGACCCTTTCCTGCGACATATGAAGCTGCATACATCATCACATTCATCAACTCAAGCTGTCTTTGTATAACCAAACCAGAATTTGCCAATATCCCCATGGCCGGATGTGTCTCCTTGAGCACGCCATTGGGATCTTCTGGTATATGAACGGGAGAAAGTAAGGTGTTCTGGGCGGGGTCGTAGTTCGGATTTGGCCTATTGGGTTCCGTAGTTGTTTGTTCAAATTGTTGTGGAGAGAGTGCTCCTCTGTTATGTGCTATGGGCCTTGATCTCCGTGTCAAATCTCGCGGAACTCGAGGGCTCCGACGTCCTCTTGTGAACGAGCTCGCGGGGGCACGGCCAGGCGCTGCCACCGACCCTATAAGAGGCGTTCGTAGTCTTGACCTCCACATAAAGGTGGTTACTCGAGGGGGTGTGGATGAATAGACTTGACGTATGTTGGTTTCTTGAGAGTTAAGTAAATCCGTCTGTAACTTCCGCAAATGAAGACGAACACCTTTACCTCTCTAGTAGCTGGAAGAAATGTCGAGCTGTGGCGGCGCAAAGAGGAATGACGAAGTTCGATTGTACTCTCGTACCGCACGGGATTAAGCGGAGATAAGAGGCCACGCAGAAGAAACCAGAAGAGGCGCACAGTCAACAAGTGTCATGATTATACCCTTTAACCTATCATGAATCCTACAAGGCCCAGACGAGTCTGAGGCCCATTCCGATTTTGTAGAGAAAGAATGTATTGTTCCCACTCAACTGGAACGTCTCGTAGTACTGACCGAGCTCATCACAGTTCCACATCACGGCCGGCGAAACAAATGGCGGAGAACGCTGGAATGAGATTGAATATACGTACAAGATAAAGTCTCGCTGCAAGAAACAAGTTTGCCTTTGCTGTTGATGCCCTACTCAATTCGTATGATTACAATAGACCTTTCCGAGCCAACTCAATCTTCCGCGCCGCCTCCCCAGGCTTGTAGCCTCCTTTCGAGATGCAGACAGCGCTTCCTTCGCCCAATTCAACCTTATCTTCGACACTTGGATGCGCACATGGGCAATGATGAGGAAAGTCAACGCATGCGAGCGTCCCCGGACAGAGGTATTTGTTGCAGTTGGCTGATAAAGCGGCGCAACGAAGGCGTTAGCTATTTTGTCCGCAATTTTTGATTGAGAGGCAAGATCCTGTGCGACAACTCACTTCCTTCCCATAGCTGTTGGTATCTTGAACTGTCGCTGGCAGAGTTTTGTGTGCCTTGTTGATGGTGTTCTTGATGACCATTTCCAAACATGTGCTCGAAGAACTGGAATTGCGCCTGAGCGACGGAGGCCAGAAGGAGTAGAGCCCCGAGGCATCTAACCCAGCTAGAAAGCATGGTGTTTGGTACTTAATTATAAAGAGCTAGTTGATCTATATGGAGAAGAAAATGAAATATAAAAGATCCAGTAATTGATAGCTGAATCGACAACAAACCGTCGTCCCTTGAAGCCAGCTATCTCAAGGGCACGTGACTCTCCGCCAAGATTGTAGGAAAAAGTCGCGGATTTCCAACTGCGATGAGCTTCCGCAGTCCTCGCCGGTTGGGCATCGGAGTGACACCACTTTCTGTGCAGACCACAATGTTACAGCCCAGACTGTTAGTGCCCTTCCGGGCGCTCGAACGCACATTTGCTTCTTCCCTCCGCTCGTCGCAGGCGATACACCACCCGCCTCGATCTTCGCTACTATTCCAACGAACCCCAATCTCCGCACCGTCTCCGATCTCGAAATTTCTTCTCCCTCTCTCTCATGTCCGTCACGCCTCTCATGCTACACAGGGTACTGCAAACCGACACTCCCGTGATCCTGCTGGGAAGCGGCTCGGCGCGAAGAGAACCGGTGGTGAATATGTTGTCCCCGGTTGCATTATCTTCCGACAGCGCGGAACGAAGTGGTTCCCCGGCGAGAACTGTGCGATGGGCAGAGATCACACCATCTACGCCACAGAGGCTGGCTATGTGAGATATTACCTCGATCCCGAGCGGCATCGGGACCGGAAGTACATTGGTGTCTGCTTCGAGAAGGAAGGAAAGCTGCCCACACCGCGGAACGCCCCGACGAGACGGAAGTTGAACAGAATCGCGGTCCCTAGCCTCACTGATGGCCCAGAAGCCGCTGCTCAGTCAGATTTGGTTGCAACTATTGAAAATGGCACTATGGTCTCCAGCGTGGAGGCCGCCAATGCCGCCACAGGCCCCCAGCTGCGTCCTGGATACATGTACCGTGAGGCGAACTGGCAGATTGGTCGCGCTGCTGAGAAGGCCGGCATCACCGCCAAGCCCCATAGACGCAAGAATCGCTGGCTGGCCTGGAGAAAGAGGCAGGCTAGGGCCGAACGTGCTGCCCAGATGAAGAGCCTTAAGAGCAAGAAGAAGGGCGCGAAGAAGGGCAAGGGTGGCCGTTAGTTGATTGATAAGTTCTCTTACCTTCAGCAACATATTATCAGAGCTCTTTGTATCACTCGTTCGTGGGGATTACGGTGTTTCTTGTATTATAGAGATTCTCACATGGACCAAATTACCTCAGATTGTATGATGTGTCCCAGTCCTCGAACGAACAGCAAACAGGATCAGCATCGTAAACCTGAATTGTATTTGTTCTCTAATTTGGTTTGTTCCAAAGAGCGAGAATTAGATGCTCTGTCAAGAAACACGGCATTTGGAGATGTATAACAGAAGAATGCAGGGGTATCTGTACAAGTCTAGAGCATTGGCGGCTCGCTTCGACCAGGGAATATCACATCCATTAACCAAACAAAAAGCTCCAGCTTCCGATGCATATGATGCAGAAAACCCATAGCGACACAACAAGATAGGACGGCACGGAAAGGCCGTCAAGGAAGGAAAGAGGGAGACATCACTGCCCGAACAGCCTCCCGAGTATGAGACTCTGACAAACAAACTCATTGCCCACTATTTTGACACTGGTACTCAAGCCAATATCGCTGCCATCGATAGACTCAACCAGCTCAGTCCTTTTGCCCTTCTTCGTACCTTTAAATGACTGAGACTTGAGTGTACCGGGCATTGAAGAACCAAGAATCGTGGCTTTTGCTGACGCCATCTCATCGCCGTCGACGTAGATCCAATCCCAGGTGCATCCAGTGCCAGCTGCGGCCTGCTGGTCCAGGCTTGCTCTCGCCGACTTGAGGTCAGGCACACGCTCAACTCTAGAAGCACCCAAGGCGTACGTGAGGAAAATGTATGCCTTTCTTCTTTCTTCATCTGATCGCCCACCGCGACCCATGACAAGCAACACCGACTGGTCTTTGAGTAAGTTGGGGCGAGCTGCAATGGTATCCGGTAGTCGCGCTGTTGTAGCCGGATAAGGAGCCAAGAACCTTGATTTCGTTGCTCCATTGAGATATATAGATTCGCCCGAAGGGAGCAAATATATTTCCCAATCCAGGATTCGGTTTTGGGCAATGCAGTCCTCAATCCAGCGGTCTGATAGACAAGGTATATTCAAGGCCAGCGCCTGCATGTATTTGGGCCGGCGAGAGTGCTTATCAGCGATGAGGCAAGCGAATCCCACTTCTTCGGCATTAGCTGCCAGACGGAACTGCCCATTGTCACAGTTCGCACCTGGCGCTGGTGATTTTGTCGGAGTCGTGAGCGGTGCGTGCGAAGGTAGCTCAAAGAGCTCATTGAAGCCATCCTTCAGGATGCTCCCATCGTTGTCCAGGATCATCTTCGTGATACGGGATTTGGCTTCATCATTATCACCGTAGGACACAGCAAACACCATGCCCGCGAAAATACCGTTCAAGAAGCGAATGCTTCGCGGTAGCCGCGAACCTGGAGAGGCTGGCGTGGAATACCTGTCAGAAGGCGTTTGAAGCCTGCTTTCGGAATGCGTAGCTCCCGAACTGTAGGTGAAAGCTCGATCTTTGAGCTGATTCCACAAGATCGTGTCCAAATAGATCCGCGCTACGGGAACCTTGATGAGATTGTCAGGCCCCGTCAGCCCACCGGTTGGGAGGCTCTTGCGTTGTTTTGGTCCGAGTAACAAAGTAGTATACCCGTATACGTCGGTGATTGGAAGGACCCCGTCAGAGGCAGCTTTTGTGAGGTCCTCGGCGCTAACCCTATCCTCAAAGCCGCGAATGATATGCGTCACCTTGGGGATATTGGGCATGTCAACCTTGACAGCATCACCGATTTTCAATTCCAGTCGTTTCACAGCGCCAATCGGCACTTCAAGGGGAACGCTATCTTCAAACTTGACCAAGACTCGCGACTGCGAGATGCCGGGTGGCTTGCCGACACAAGTTGCAGGATAATATGCCCGTTTCTGGCCACTCCAGGGAGCAATGACTTGATTCAGCGCGATCGGAAAGTTGTCTCCATGGAGCCGACTGACTAGGTCGGAGTCGTCACACTGCATTGGCTCTGGGGACTTATCCTTCATTTGTTCTCTTCTATCTTGTGGGACCTCAAGACTTCCTTCACAAAGACCCTCTCTTTCCTCAGTATGCACATTCATATTCTCTACCAGTTCCAGCGGGCGAGGCCCTGAGTCTACCTCAGCACGAGGGCGAGGAAGTTTTTTCAACCTTTCTTTGCGGGAGACGTGATATTGAGGAGTATCCTCCACCTCCCATACTGTTCCCATTCGCTTGGAAGATCTTGATCTTTTTAGGGAGCTCGATTCAGACTTGTCCACGAACTCTTCGGTTTGCAAACTCTGTCCCGTGGTCTTCTCGCCATTTTGACATTGAGCATACTGAGAACCGATACGAGGCGTGAACGGTAATATCGGATCAGACGCATATACGTTCTGCCCATTTCCACGCCGCTTTTTCCTCGGTGGAATCGGGGACGCGGAGACCACAGAACTAAATTCCTTATCATCAGCTGTGAGAATGCCAATATCAACATCGACGAGAGCAGTTCCAGCTTGAGGCGAAGCATCGGCAGCTATCTCTGTTAGTGCCCTGCGCTGTCTCCCACTTGGGCTCGAGAGTATTTTGGCAGTGAAGAAAGGCCTAGTTGGGGTCGAGCTTTCAGGAACAAGTGGTTGAGAGTGACTGATGCGCCCTTGTTCAATAGGATAAGCAGGGGGCAGGTCATCATCCTCTTTATCCATAGGGTCATTACCCACATCGTCTGCCCAGCTCTGATTGTGGATTGTGTTCGGACTAGTCTCAGGAATGCTCGTCGTCGGGATTACATCGCCGAAGCTTCTCGGACGCTGGGGTACAGGTGTTTCAGCCACTCGAGAGGGCATGGAGGAGGGGTTTTCACGAGGATCTACTCTTGCGCTCTTGGGTTCGGCTCCCTTGGCCATTCGGCTGCCTGGATTGCTGGATTGCGCTGTCGCAACTCCCTGGGCTGAGGATGCGTCCCTTGGAAGCTGACTGGA